ATTTAAAAACTGTACTTTTGAGGTTAAACAAATGTTTATAATTAATATAAATAAATTACAGGTTAAAAGGGGCATGGAAATTTCTCTTTTTTGTATCGAAAAAATATTGAACCGTGAGACTAAAGTATCGAACCGAACCGTAAATTTTCTGTATTTTGTGCAGGCTCCACTGCACAAGTCAAGCCCAGGATGGAGGGTCTTCCAACAACTGTGAACTGGATTTTTTTTATTATTATTATTGTTTTAATGTTTAAAATCCATTTGGGCATCATAAAGGGGAAAGGCTCCTTTAAAAAAATTGCCATGAATAAATAAATAAATTGTCAATTTAAAAAAAGCAATTGTGGGTTTTGTAAAAACTTACGGCCTCAAAGGAGCTAAAAGATTTTTACAAAGTCTTTAAATTTGACATTTTAATTCAGGCTGAGACAGCTTTGATGGACCAAAATATTAATATTAATTATTTTTAGCAGTTATGTTAAATAATGGATTGCCCTACATCCTTGAAACAGTTCTCATAAAGTTGAAGGTCAATTTGAGGGTTAATATTGCATCATATATTTGTCATATATATCTGCTGCGATAAACCCACATTCCCCTCACTTTCTCTTCTGTCATTATTAGCATCCAAACCAGGTGTGGGCATTGTGGCCCAGTTGGATTGACTAAATATATTAGCCTATTAGCACACAGAACATAAAAGCAAGGTAGAACAAATATAATGGCCTATAATTTACTGCAATCCTTTGATATACCAATAATATGCTCACTGATGGCCATAAATATGTGATATATTGTTATTGGTGCTACATATATGAAGTGACGAGAACTGAAGCTGAATGAGTAACATTTGACCACCAAATCAGAAACTGAGAAATGTAGGTCAATGGTTCAGATGATAATAAAATTACAAATAAGGTCGAAAAAAATAACATTTAAATAAACAAGTTTTAGATTTTAAATCAATTTGAAGGTGAAACTTTCCAGTAGAAAGATTAAAGTTGTGCTCTGCTTTTGACCCATCATATATACCCAAGTGGAGCAAGGGGCAGTTAGGAGGTGTCTTGCTCAAGGGCACTACAACATGTAAACATGGATGTGACGTATTGAACCTGCATCTTTCAGGGCCCAAGTCAGCTGTCCTTCTTTCCTCATTCTCATATCTGAGACTTGGATAAATTCGATTTTTAAGTTGTGCAACGAAGCAAGGTCCCCGAGGAGAGGAACAATCCGTACAAAGGTTTTGCAACAGTACAGAACCCAGACACTCACGTTTGGAGTCCTCTCTGAGTCGCCTTGGGGCGACCCCAGAGGCTCGCCGGCCACGTACAGGACGTTCGGGTTCAGTTTGGACGCCATGAGGTGACAGGGACGAGCGGCGAGRCGGGACGAAAAGGAAAAGCTGCGAAACAGGCGAGGGAGAAGTGAGGTGAGGCCAGGTGAACGCCTGGAGGTGAAGAGAGGACGAGGATTGAGGGGGTGGTGGTTAAAAGAATCCGGGATGCCACAGTCCTCCTTATGTGGATCTCTCTGTCCCAAATCTGGAAAAGATGGAGGAATAAATGATTGATTAGAAGAGAAAAAGCTCTCAGGAGAAAACTTTTTTTATTTTTCTATTTTGTTCCAAGAGGATGTTTGCTTCAAAGTGTCATCAATGCCTCAGTCATGTCTTTGTCACAGTTCCTCTTTATCCTTCCTGAGTTTCTGAGACAAACTGTTTAAAAACACACCAGTCTGAGCAAAAGTGAAAGTGATAGTGATTATACTGGTGAGATGCTTCATCAGCAAAGAAAACGTGCTTTCGATCAGACGCCAATCCAGGCGGTGTGCGTGTGTGTGTGTGTGTGTGTGTGTGTTTGTGTGTTTGTGTGGACGGGTTTTTCCTACAACATGGGGTATTTTTTACAAAAAAAAAGCAGCCAGGTGGGGACCGAAGTGAATCGTGGGGACCAGTGTCAGGTCCCCACGGGTCCAAATGCATGTTACAGGTGT